TGGCTGAGAGTCATGGGGAATCGCAGGAGGCCGGGGGTGCAGGGCCCTGAGTCCCCCAATACTCCGTGACAGCTCCTAATGAACTTTGAACAGTCAGGAGGAACAGGTTCAACTAGACTGAGAACTCTGAGGGAGAAACTGCACCTCCTAGCAAAGACACCTGTGCCCACCCCTTTTACTTTCACAGGGCTCGGGCATTCGAGCCCCTGGCTTAACGAGGTCCTTTCAGCAGAGGGTGACCCCCTCATTTGGGACAGGTTAAGCACAGTTCTGCTCACCTTTATTCGTACAATAAAGGCAACAACATTGATAACATGTCACTATCCCTGCATTCAGTACTAAAGTGATTTCTATCCCAACATCAGCCAAAGTTGATCACTTTGAGCAACACAGCTCCTGTCTGCTGGATATCTTGGCAGAGTAGGTGTGGTCACGTCAATACAATTTGCTCCTCAAGTCTCTTCCCCTCCCAGCTGTCAGGGGAGAGCTCTTTCAGACCCTGCTTGTACATGGCACAGTAGCTCCCAGTTCGGCTTCCGCAGGGGACTAGAACTAGGGGGTCGGTGAACTGCCCCAGTGACCCCAATCCCCGGTGTCAGCTGTCTGCCTGGCCTGGGAATGTCGCCCAGCCAGTCCCCCCATTGCCTCCCTCTTCTCCCCCTTCTAGGGAAACCGCTTCTTGGGCCTCCACCCCGACCCCTGTTTTCATTCTCCCTGTATCCAGCCTGCCCCCTGTCACAGCCTTATTGGCCCCTCGCTCCTTCCCTGGGTCCCGTGCAGTTGACACCTCCCCCTTGTGTTTCCACAACTTGATGCCGCTGGCAGGTGCAGAATGGGGTGATGTCTCCTGAAATGGCCAGGAAGCCTTCCCAAGGGGACTCACCTGGTTCTGCTGTGTGCGTCTCTGTCTGTGTGTGTCGCTAAACTCCAGAGTGTCTGTGTGTGTGTGTACCTCAGGGGTGTGTGGGTCCTTTGTGTTGTGTTTGTTGTGTAAATGACCAAGGATAGAACAGCCCGAGGAAATTCACAGTATTCTTGGGGTTATTTACTTTGTATCATTCCGAGTAATGAGAGATAGACCTGTCCTAGACAGACACCATATAGACAAATGGTGACGGTACAGACAGACACAATCTAAACCAACAGACAGACCCAATAGAGACACATGGTTTTAGGCAACACATTAAGAGACAGACAACCTAGACAGGCAGAATTTCGACAGAGGGGTAGAAACAATCTTGACAGAGAGACAAGGCAAACTAGACAGCCAGGCATATACAGTCTAGACAGCCAGATGCAATTGAGACAGACAGACATATCTTTTATTACTAGTATTTTCTGTAGTATTGTAGGACCTACGACACCTGAACATGGGCCCGGAATCCTTTGTGCCAGGTGCAGCACAGACTGAGATCAGTGCAACATTGTGCTGGCTCTGCCCAGACCCACGGTGGGAGCCAGTCCCTGCCCCGAAGGGCTCACTTTCTAAACACACAAAGTCAAATTTATTCCCCCCTTTTTACATCTACTGGAACTGAGACTCAGAGAGACCTGGGACTTGTTGAATGTCGCACAGGGAGTCTTTGGGAGAGCCAGGGATAGAACCCCGGAGTCCTGATCCCAACTCTTGCTCTAACCCACCAGATCTCAATCCCCTCTGAAAGCCAGAGATAGAACCCAGGCGTCCTGACACCCAGTCCCCTCCCCCAATCACTAACCCGCTAGATCCCACTCCCCTCCCAGCCCTATAATCATGGGTTGTAATTATGATGGCTTGTCTTTTCCATGACAGGGATGATTGTTAAATTAGCATCTTAGAAAGTGCTGGCACCATCCCCGGGACAGCGCTGGCCAGCAGGAGGAGGCCGAGGAGCAGCGGGGTGGGTGCTGGAGTGTAGCCGGCATTGGACTGACTGCTAATGGTGACATTCACCACCCCGGATTCCACACTGGGGAGCTGCTGCTGGATCCAGTCGGAGTAGGCGGAGACCCGGGTATAGACCCCGGGACGGTAGGGGAGGCCACAGCCTTCTCCCCAGCTCACGATGCCGATCAGGAACCAGGAGCCAGCCTGGGAACAAACGAGGGGTCCCCCAGAATCCCCCTAGAGAGAGAAGGAGGACCAGTTAGACCAGTGCCCTTCAATCCCAATCTGCAGTCCCGGGGGACTACATACCTTACCCCCACCAACTCTGCCGGTGTCCCTCAGTCCTGACCCGCAGCCCCCTCCAATCAGAGACATGGGCTCCTGGATCTCCTGGGATGTCCCTGAATTCATTCACCTGGCAGGAATCCTTCCCTCCTTCGGTTTGGCCAGCACACACCATGTCGTCTTTGATGGGGCGCGACCCCAGGGACCCTGTGATGGATATGCTATAGAGGTCATTGCACGTCTGAGCATCCATGAGTGAGACCTGAACCTCCTGCAGAGTGCGGGGAGCAGGGAGACTTTCTGTGGAGAAAAAATACACCTCATCAGGGCCCACCTCA